ATTAAAATTGTTTCTTTGTTTCGACTAAATTTCTATTTTGACTAAATTACCAATTTCAGAATATAAATGTAGTATTATTTATCAAACTGAAACAACATTTGGATCGAGGCAGATAATAGTAGGTCTAGAAAAAAAACCATGAAAATAGGATAGGAAAAAGGATAAAAACCCTATTGCAACTTTGATCATTAATAAGCCGGAAAACAAGAAATATTATGTTATTAAGATTTTTCAAAACGTTTTGTTTATTTTAATTTTTATATGACGTAGCTGCATTTTCAACCGCTGGTTCTTTTAACACGGTGTAACCTGATACTGGATTTTTTCTCTATTAAACTTTTTTTCAATAGTTGTTGCCACAGTACACCGCGGTGACGCAGGAGCACGGCTGATGGCCCTCGGACAATAGGAGTCTTCTGGGCGAGCCAGATCCTGATACCTCCGGGTATTGTCCATTTCCTCTCGCTGAGGTAATAAATATTTTTACATAGCGTTTCGAATTCGATCGTATTCTTAAAAAAAAAATAAAAATGCCCGTTAGTAAGTTACACAATGGACTTAATCCGCAACAAATGATAAGAGTAATATTTATTTTATTAAAAATTGAGCTTATTAAATCTTATTATCGGTGATTTAGTGTATCGACAGTCCTCATCATTCAAACGATGAGGTATCTAAAAGAACTCGCAGGACACAGTAGAACCCTTATCAAGACTTTAAGAATAATAAAAGTTTCGGTCCATTTATCACATACCTCATATCAATATTAAAGAATAAAAATATCAATTTTTAACAATTTCTTTCATCCACACTAATCTCTCTGGCTATATTAAACCCCATACTCCTCTGGAAAAAGTATTCTTGCAGTTACCCTTTTATAGTCTCACTCTTGCAAGTAGGCCTAGATTCAGAATCTAATTTTCATACATTTATAGGAGACTTTTTTTTTCATTTATTAAATAAAACATTCTGCCACGCCCGAGGGCAATAGGTATTGAGGCCAAAGGTAAGTAGCCATTCATACAGTATATCCATACAAGGAGAAAAACATATTACATATATATATATATATATATATATATATATATATAGAGAGAGAGAGAGAGAGAGAGAGAGCTGATTAAAAAAATAGATAAAGTAAAAAAAAAATACAAACAAATATATAAAATAATAGTAATAATAATAAGAAGTAGTGATAAATATAGCATAATGATGAAATAACATAATATATGAACTTCACAAAAAAAATTCAATTAAATCAGTAGATGTCTAAAGTAAATTAAAGTTGATTATAAAAATAAAAATTACATGTACATATATAAATAAAAAATAAAAGTCATCTAAAATGTTAATTCATATTCATATTTATTTATAAACAATATTTACATCCCCCCAAGGGACTCTGAGCTAGGCCTTGTCTTCCATATGTGAAAGGCTGACTTCCGAAAATCCCAGCGCCTCTCCCTTACCAGTGTCGCCACTGGAATTTAAATCAAGCGGAGACTGAGAGTGGGCAGTAGAGTATAGGATACTTAGATTTAACTCTTGAACTCAACACATATGTTTGTATTTCATTTCAGTGTACAAGATTTCATATGTAAAAGACATTCTGAATAAATTCCAAAGTCCTCACTCTCTGCGGTTTGTTAAATGTAGAATAATAAAGTTCATCACATCTGGAATAAAGCTACTTTTGTCATCAAACCTGCTAAGTACGTGACCATTTACTTCGATGCTATAGATACACCTGAAATTTCGGCGTTATATATGTGTGTGTCTGATTATTATAACTCAAAATGAATTCAGTTTTTCTCCGGACTGTTGCAACATTTATTCTGAAGAGTGAGCCGGTTGAAGCACAGAGGGTAGTAGGAATATTGCCTAATATTTCAAACTGTTCTTCCACCACCTCCGAGCTTGGACTATAAATTATTTTGATAGTATGCCATCCCATTTTAAATGCCTACCGGATGAGAATTCCTTGGAATAAATCTTGAGAATTCCTCCTGGAGAAGCCGTAAAAAGGGAAGGAGGGAATAGTATGTTTGTCCATTCATATTTTACCGAATCAGTTGGCTTTGATCTATAAGGTCAGTATCGAAGGCCCTAAGGCAAACCATTTTTCATGCTGTATCCCTTTCCTTTATTTATGTATGTTTTTTTCGCAATATGGTCTGATTCTTATTTATTTAGATGGGAATGAAAGAAAAATATTATACTAATATCTTAGACATAATTTTTTTTTCTGAAAAAAACAAAACAGAATAAAAATAATGATTAATATTGTGAATATTGGTGTACGGAAGCAATATTTGATTTACTTGTACAGAAGTTTGAATAAATTTTATTCTAAAGAAATATACTTTAAATTATTAAATTATTAAATATTACTACTTTTTTAGTTATGTTGTTTATTATGTTTATAAGAAATGATGAAGTAGTACCATATAGGTAAGTTTAATAACAAATTACGAATCAAACTTTCTGTAATAAGATAAAATTATTTTACTATTAGATCTTGTTAAAAAATTTAATTTATTTTATATCATCAAATCTATGCTCGAGAAATATTGATATTTTATTCATTATTTATACTGTCTGATCATTATAACAATTTTTTGTTTCATTCTTCTTATTGAATAATAACGCAATAGGCTTTAAGGTTAATGAATGTAATCAAAGGGATTGTATTATTTTTTTTTTTATTATAGTCATAAAAGAATACAAAAAAAAAGAAGCATATGTAAATATATTTAACAAATGAAAATATAAATATTGAACTTGTTTATTTTTGTCTCACCATTATGGCGTGCTTTAAGGTTGTGTGAGTAACATAATTAAGAGTTTTGACTATGCTTTGAAGGACTTTGTACCAAAAGGATTGTTTGATGTTTAAAAAATTAAAGGCAATTAGCAAAATTTACAATTAAAGCATATGTTTTGCTACAAAGTCGGTCATGATGAAAGTTTATACATAACTACTAAATAATATTTGACATTTATCAGTCGTTTTTATGACCGTTTCCTATGAAAGACTCCTCATTGAGTAACTTGGTTAGGAAATGGTTTCATCCTTTATTAAACGTTACATTTAGCTGCATCTCATTTAGCTTCTTTTTACAAAATTTTCGTTTTATAAACCAATTATATATGCTTCTTATTGTTAGGATAGTTGTCAAGCTGTTGTTCACGTTAACCCTATGAAATAAACACCATCCCTCCACCTTGTAGGACTAATAGCCCTGGAATTAGGGCCCAAAAGTGGATCCCATCGCAGGCGAAGGTCTGAATGTTAATTACGAAAGTGTATGTTATGCTGAGTAAAATGAACCTTTTATTCATCTCCATCTCGAACCTTTTATTTCTCCTAATGAAGTTCAAAAGGGATGATCGTTTAATAGAGGAAGTATTCAGTTCTAGGTTTCTATTCCGCCACATTCTGTTATATGGTGTAGTCCAGTTTCCATTGATTGTACAAGTGGCATATTTCATCATCAACTATCTCGCATACATTAAGATGTATTTTATGTCTATAATGTCCTGTAAATACTCTCATAATGCATCGGATTACATTTCAGTTTAAACCTAGCATTCATTTTATTCTTGAAGGAGAAAGATTTTTAATTAACTAATAAGCTCGTCAAAGCTCAGTACATTCCATCTATTCCTTACCAGTTCTTTTCCATGCCCAAGGTTCTTTCTCTTGCCATGCGATATTACTTAAAACATGTTTAAACATAACTCTGTTCATATGACTGGAATATTTTAATTGATATCGTCAAATAAGGGAAATGAACAAAAGTTAGGTTCAACACAGTATCACATTTGTTCACCTACAAGTTTCCAACTGACTATTGTTAAACCATAGTGGTGCGTTTCTTTGAAAAACTGATAAATCATTCATGATTATTAAAAAAGAAAAATTAAATAGAGGAGACTGATTTTGAAATTCTATCTCTCAATTAGAAAAAAAAGATAACGATTTTTTGTTATAATTACTTGAACATTGCAGCTATTCAATAATTACTATTTGAATACTTCTTTCCTAACGTGAAACCCTCATACTAGACTTAAAAGACAGGAGCTTAACCGACGATATGGCCAACTATACAGACTACTAAATAGAAAATTTAAACTTTCTATTAAAAATAAAATACTTATCTACAAGACAATACTGGAACCTACTTGCACTTACGGACTTGAACTGTGGGGAACAGCAAATTTTCTAACATCAAACGCATCCAATCCATCCCGTCCAAAGTCCTTTGAACAATAGTCGACGCTCCTTTCTATGTAACTAACAAAACCTTACACCGTGACCTTAATATCCCATTTGTCCTAGACCTCATCCCAGCGAAATTCTCCAAATTTCAACAGAACCTTCTCTATCATCCGAATCTCTTTGCACAATACTTATCCAGCACCACCCATCCCTATAATCCTCCAAGAAGGTTGAAGCGGCAGTGGCCCTGCGACCTTTTATAGTTTGTAAATATTGGAGTTCTGGCAATGGCCAGATTCTCCACTCACGACATGAGAGTATATAGGTATGTTTGTGTTCTTATTAGATTATTTTATACTTATTTATTGTATATATATTATTATTATTGTACATAGAGTGATCTCTGAACACTATTATAAATGTCCTTTGAGGCAGATTGTAATATTTTCAATAAACAATAATAATAAAAAAAAAAAAGAATACTTCTTTCATGTTACCCTATAAAACACTTTTCATCTGATGAATCTCAGCATTTCTTCTTTGTATTATTAAGAAACCTGTATCTAAATTAATACTAGAGTAATGTTTTTCATCATGCCAAGTATTTATTCTTGTATGAGCCATTCCTTTTCCAAGAACGCTCCTAAACAGATATTCGCCGAAGTGGAGTAACAGCGGAGGCCCCAGGCATTAAGTTATTTAAACTAACGAGCCACCGGAGCTCCAGATGATGGGCTAGGGCATGCATTGCTTTTAAAGTTTAAGAAGTGTGCGCGGAATGCGGTGCGCCTCTGGCCCTCCTGTTTACGAAAACATCCACGAAATCCAATTGGCCCTAATACGCTTGGGCCTTGTCTCCTTAGGCATCCCTATCAAGTGGCCCCTAAGATTTATCTCCATGTCTCAATGCATCCTTGTCTATTAGAGGATCTCCTCATCCGTCTTCTTTATTCACTTTCCTTTGTGTAAATTCTACCACCTCCAGCTTAGTCAAGCCTATGTCAATAGAGGTTAGATGTTACTGCTGCCTCAACAAAACAAGGAAGGAGTATTAATCGTTTTTATGAAGCCTTGAATTTATATGAATATCATATATAAATACAAATGATAACAGATTAAATATATTTTTTTAAATGTATCGAAAAATAATCTGTTTAGATATATATATTTTTTTAAACTACACCTATTTCTTTAGTAAGAGATATTACATTCTATCACATTCAAGGACACTAGTGCTAGTGATACTTATGTACAATAAATTTTAAACAATTGAACAGTAAAATAATAATATTATAAGTAAATGAATATAAACAAAAGAAACTAAACTAATCAAAATAACAACTTAAATATACACGTACTTTTATACAACAAAATTCATAAATCACATTTACAAAATTCATTTACTTACAAAAACTCCGAGCCTTGCCCCACTTGTAGAAGGAAATTCATGACTTTAGGAGATCCCAGCGCCTCTCACTCAGCCGCATTGCTGGTATTAAGGGCAAGTGGGGGCTGAGCAGAGTTGCTATAATATGTTCATATCAAATATGAAATATTTGAATTTTTTTTTTTTAAAGTTTGATTTTTTCAAGATAAGATCGTAAATCAAAGCCATAAAATCTTCTGTTAGAATAATGAAGTATTATTTTTTAAATATGTGTTATAATCTAATTCAATGAAGTTAATGAAAGCATAAAAATATTTTTGTTTTCCTGATATTATTCCATATATAAACAAAACCAAGTAGGTCTCCATACCAAGTCACGTCTTATAGCCTATTAGTCTTATATCTGTATTTACCAAAATATTTGAAAAATTGTTACTAAAGCGGCTCCATCCATTCTTAGAAGCAAACAATGTAATTCTTAATCATCTCTTTGGCTTTGCAATTGTGAATATCACTCTCAGCAATACAACAATATCATAAAGTTATCGATACAATTGCCATTGGAAAAGAAGGAATATTGCACGGCAGCTTTCATAGATGTCGCACATTCTTTCGATATAGTGTAACATGATGGTTTCCTTTATAAAGTCAAATCGGTCCTACCGCATGCCTGCTGTTTAATCATCAAGTCGTTTCTTAAAGATAGATTTTTCGTTGTTAACCAGGATGATAAATAATCTGGACTGTTGTCGAATTGGTGCAGGAGTGCCGCACAGTGCAGAGCACTATTTTAGGCTCTGTACTCTATTTACTCTCCACGGATTCTGATTCATCATAGCATTCCAAAAACAATATCATTTAAAACTACTTCAAAACTTGCTTGATAGATAGCGCACACAAATTAACACCGTAAATCAAATTAGGTTCAATATACAATGTGGCGTTCGGATCGCCCTCCACTGACACTTTACAACATTCCTTTTCTAAATCATACAGAGACAAAATATTTCGGACTCACAATTGGCAGACGACTGACCTGGAAATCATACGTGACTTCATTAAAAAAAAGAGATTCAATCATCGGCTTTCACAACTAAGACAATTGTTACATTATAAAAACTAACTATTGCTTTTTAACGGAATTATTGACTAAAAAATGCTACTTAGAGCCATATGGACGCATGCCACTCAGGTGTGGAGTACTTGCAGTAAAACACACTTATTCAATTCTTCCAATCTAAATTTGTTTGATGTATTGTCCCTTCAATGTAACGAATAAATTACTTTACACAGACTTGCAAATACCACAAGTCACTGCTGTAATTAAGAAATATTACAAACATTTTCATCACTCACTTATTGGACATTCTTATCCGCTACAAATATTACTAATAGACACACTACTTCAGAAACCATCAATGAGACTTAAACGTCACTGGGGCAGAGACTGTTGCATTAAGAACTCACGTTAGGAGTGCCTTTGCTGGGACGTTTCTCCAGTCAAGTATTCACCTTAATCCCGAAGGAGATGGTTGATTCACGGGGTCACCGATGGAGAGCCCATTTAGAATATAAGTCAAAATATATATTTAACCATTTTTGGAAACTAAATTTATTATTATTATATTATTTTATGCCTTATTTACCCCAAATTCCATCCCATTAAATTTATTTAACATTTGTTCAGCGAAGTACTACCGGCATGCACTGCTGTCGAGGAAAGATTAACTTGCTTGGATTGGTGATACCAGCGAACCCTCTAGAATCTTGCCAATTCCAAGGACGACCACTCTAATTAGTCTGGTTTAAATATTCATGGACTTGGCTACCTCTATCTCTTTCCTAATGATTCCAATTATGCCTTTTCTATTTTCGAGTTTTGTGGTACTTACAGTTAATTTCTGTCTAAGGTTTTAAAAACCTATGGCTGGATTTTTTAATTATTATTATTATATGAATCGATGTTATCAAGTGTAAAATTTATGTTTCATATAGGTAGTTAATATCAATTTTAATTTTGTTTTTTTATTTTTGTTACAGGTTGGTGTACTAGTGTTAAATATATGGATTCACTAATTTAGCCAGGATAACGTAAGTTGTCAATATAAGAGTAAACTGTCTGTATTCGTAAAAAAAAAAAAATAATAAAAAAAAAAAAAAAAAAAATAAATAAATAAAAAAAAAAAATCCGCAGCTTTTTGTCATACATAAGTTAATCAACTAATTTTTAAGTTATTATCTGTTATGAGCCTTTCAGTTTACAGTGTGACAAATTCAAATTTCAAAATTTTTAGTTTATAATTTCAGTGATATTCTAGTGGGAAAATTTATCCATTTATTCACAGTTTTACATTTCAACACTGCAATCTAAACTAAAATGGCTACTCTAAAATATTGAAATTAAAATTAGTGATTCTGTCAACTGAAAGGCTCTGATAAATAGAAGAGTGGAAAAGTAAAACACAATTGTAAATTTGTCCATTAAGTAATGACGAAAATGTATTAACTGCAACGAAAGGACGATGTATGCATTAATGCTTTGAAAGAACCGTGTGGTCTATTCCATTCACGCATTTAGAGTTTCCCTTAAAATAACTTTTTTATGTTTTAGGAACGTCTCTAACGAATTAGGCATCAACATAATTAAAAATAGACGTAAATATTACTAGACTAACAAACTTTTTCAAAATGAAACAAACGATTTCTTAAAATTTTATTTCAATTTTAATTGTAATACAATTAAAATAATAATTTTAATTTTATGGTATTGCAATAAAGTATAGTATATGTGTTATATAATCATTCTATGCCTTAGTTTATTGTTTCAAAACTTTCGAATGTATCTATCCAAGATGCATTCCCCTTCTACGTTATTTTTCCATAGTATAATCTATTGATAAATTTAGTTAAATCGTGTTATAGTAAAATATTGAAAAATTGTAATATCTAAAAATGTATTTATTTATAACGTTTTTAGATCATTTTAGCCCATACGAAGGTTAGTTTTTTATGTTTTATTTGAAGTTATAATACTTAAAGTTACAAAACACTTAAAATTATAAAGAATTTTCTATGAGAAATTTATAATAAATTTAAAGCTATATTAACTGTTGTACATGGCACCTTTAATTGTAACCAAATAAATAAAGTTTGAAAACATTCATTTATTTTTATTTTTATTATCATTTATAAACTGTACAAATCAATGTACATTCAGCAAATGTGAGACTGAGAAAAACATGACATAAAAAGGCTTGTAGAGAATCTACCCATTGGTAGGTCTCTAATAAAGTTTCTAAATTACGAGATGAGAATTCTTTTGAGACGCCTAGGAGAGTTTTCAGGGATCGAGGAGGAAGTAAGGTTAGAAACATAAGGATTGGGATGTTTCAGAAGTATTATAATGGACGTATAGGTATCTGGATTTGGCCAAATCGGAAATATATGGAACATTCAGGTCATTATGGATTATTTCATTTGTTTCAAAGTAGGGAGCATTAAAGATTTTACAAAGGATTTTGGATTGTAATGATCGGATATGAGAGGAATTCGATGGTTTAGAGGAGCCCCAAAACTCGACTCCGTAAGTCCAAATAAGTCTTATTATAGTCATGTATATGAGTTTTTGTAATTAATTCAAAGGTTATAGTATTTGTCTCGTATGTGCTGAAGTATTCGGAAATGTCAAGCGGTTTCTTGTCGCTTCAGTCTGGTATGATGATTCCAAGTTAGATGTTTACTCTGGTGGAGTCCTAGGTATCGAATTTGTTCAACAGAGATAAGTGGAGTATTATTAAAGAATTCTGTAGGACAGGAAGTCATAGGCTTACGACGAAAGGGTAAAGGTAATTTGATGGGATTTATTGGAATTTATTTTGATTCTCCAGTTTTGACACCATTCTTCAAGGTTTGTGATGTGGGATTGAAGGGTTTGGGATGCAATTGTTGGGTCGTTATGAACCGATAAGGCACATGTTCCATCGGCATAGGTTGTAATAACGGTGTTTGGATGGGTAGGGATGTCAGCTGTATAGACTGTGTAAAGAATAGGAACTAAGATACTACCTTGAGGAAAACATTAAAGATTTTAAAAACATTGAAAAGACAACAAACGGCGTAAGGCATTAAAGGTACAAAGTATTAAAAAGTTACAAAACAATTTACAAAAAGCAAAAACAATTAAATTCTGGATTGAGAACAATTAAAATATGATTGAGTTTTTTTCTCTAGAAATATAAACAATTCCTTGTAATCTTCGTATTATTTTTGAAGATTTTATTTGGTATCATTTCCCAATTCAATTTAAAGGGAAGCATAATAAAAATGTACTAAATCACTCAGCATCCTGATCAGTTATAATCGATATCATTTAATGCCAGAGAACAAATTGGATAAGCATTACGGGTAGTGTTGCCCAACTGCGAGACCGATACGAGTCTTGGTCTTGCAAACTCAGTCTTGGTCTAGGTCTCGGTCTTGCGCAAGACTGTCGTAACAGTCTTTCAGTTACCTATTAGCGTATTACTAGAGAGATATTGCTGTAATTTTTTTGATATGAAGAACCTAACTAAGTATGAATGAAAAATTAAAAGAGTTGACTGCAAAAGTATATCGGTTATATATAGTACACCCATTCTTCACATATAGTAACTAAAATTGTCAAGTATTAGTAACTATTTTGTCTTAATTTTTATTCAAAAAATCGATTTTTTTACCAGTTTTGGTCTTGGTCTTTGCAACAGTTAGGCGGCATTGTCCTTGGTCTATTTTGGCAGTCTAGACCGATTTTGGGCAACACTAATTACGGGACCATCATCTAACGTACCAAATGTTATAATTTATTCGTTCATTGTCATAACTTTAAAAAACACATATATCTATAAACACTAGCTGAATACTGTTAGAAGATAATTTGTTGACCTAATTGATTAAAAACTTTTCCTCTCGTCAGAAATATAGTTTGTGCTAGTCCGTCTGCGGAACGGATCTTTACTAGTTAAATTGAAAAATTGTCATCATGATTTGGTACGTCCTTGTCTAGTTAAACCTTGTGCTAATTTATAAGTTGTGGATTTGAGTAATTTAAAGGTGGATGATGTTATTATTGGAAAGGATCTATCTAAGATGTATGGCTTATTTGAGTGAACCCACCGCTCGTCTTACTTTACAATTGAGTATCCTTAATACCATACTTTATGAAAGGTGTTTTTGTATTTATACATTTTTTTTTAATTTATAACTGAGACAAGTTGAGACCTAAAAATGAAACTTATTTTGATTCACTAATCATTAAGAAACTTATTACCAGCATTTATTAAGATACAATGAAACCTATCTCATCCTCTCTAATATTAACTTTGTCACCTATCTTGGCAACCTTCACGTGGGTTTACGTGAGATCAAATCAAACGACCTTCCACTTTGCAAAACTTTGGATTATTTTGATCCAATGATACTTATATGTACTTTGGTATTCCGTTTCTTCTCAGAGTAATGCTGTACCTAATAGCCTTTGTCGGGGCCAATTTTTTTATTGATATTTGAACATTCCATAAGTACGAAATTTCCTATCTACTCCACCACCTTGCCCGCTTCCTAATACTAAGTAATTTCCTTAAGGGCCTTCCTATTTTACAGGGCGGTACCCCGAAGAAGAGGACGAGCAACAAGTTGCAGATTATAAATATGACTTACTTTCATACTATATAATGGAAAAGATTAGCTTTTGTTCCTCAATAACTAATCCTCTTATAATATCTTCTATATCCTAGCACCAGTTCATATTTTTCATCCCCCATTTTTTTCTGGAAGGGTCGTTTATTTTCAATTTTTCAGTAATTGCTTTTTTTTCTTTTTTTTTTTATACTTTCCAATTTGTTTTTAAAAATTCGGCGCTCCTGAGTTTACTTTTTATTTCTGTGGCTGAACTACCTAGTCCATTAATTTTTCTTTCTTCAAATAACCGCAAATATCATTCCATACTTCATTGAAGTAGGGAAGAGCGGGACTATAAGTCCCGATTTTTAAACAACCTCGAATAATTATTATTAAAAAAATTATATATAACAAAATTTATGATAGCTTATAATTTGCACATATACTCTTCCTAATATATATATATATATATCTGAAACACTTTTGAGTGCACCTTTAGCGAATGCTTTTATATGAAATTTCGTATTTAGGAAGACCAAAAGTTAGGTTATTACAACTTAGGTTATGCTTTATCTCACTTTTCAATTAACAGCTGATGTAGCCAATCAGTCTTACTAGTCTTAGCTTATCAGTCTAGCTGCTTCTTACTATTATATTTCGCGACGTACTTCGGACTCGTTTTAGAGCTATCTCACTCGGAAAAACTTATCCCAGTAACTATTAGCCCCGCTCTGTTTGGAAATATATCCTCATAATAATAGTTATAATTCAATAATGGAAATCCTTGTATAATAATATATTAAACTACAATTTAAAATCATGTTTATTATTACAAGCTTGAGTTTCTTGAAAAAAAAAATCGAGGTTTCAATTAATATATTTTTCTGTTAGGTGTGTCAGGAAAGTAAATTTACCTAGCAATGTTACTTCTAATGTTGTATTATTCAGGTTTATTTGTAATTCATATTAAAATATTGAAGAACGGATTATCAAATGATTATTCATTAATTACATTTTAAAAAATCTGGTGTCTCATAAATAATGAAAAATATTGAGGACAAAGAACTTGAGGATGCTGTGGAAGAATATCAGAGTAATTTTCTCTAATTAAACAAACAATCAGAGAACTTGCCTCTGATC